ATCTAGCATTCAGCATGGCTAATTGACCCTGCAGCAACTGGTACCTAGCCTTCAGCATGGCTAATTGACCCTGCAGCAACTGGTACCTAGCATTCAGCATGGCTAATTGACCCTGCAGCAACTGGTACCTAGCATTCAGCATGGCTAATTGACCCTGCAGCAACTGGTACATAGCCTTCAGCATGGCTAATTGACCCTGCAGCAACTGGTACCTAGCATTCAGCATGGCTAATTGACCCTGCAGCAACTGGTACTTAGTATTCAGCATGGCTAATTGACCCTGCAGCAACTGGTACATTACAAATAACTAATAAATGGAAGGTGATAAGTCTAACCTGTGGTCTTACTCTGCTGAGAGCTGGACAATTCTTTTGACGTATCATTGGTTGATTGTGTACACTGACTATCATCTTCATCTTCTTTCCTTCTGTTGGTAGTATTACCTTCCAGTTTGTTTAAGACCATGCCCCTCCATCCACGAAGAGAAGCTTTACCAATCCAGAAACCACTGAAAGTAATTACACAATTCACTATCTTTAAAATATTTACAGTGAAATGCATGTACCAGGGTCTAGCCACATTTAACTTCCTCTCAGTTTTCATACTAATTTCCTTTTTTGTACCCAGGAAGCCACACCCCTACTGCTCACTAATAGGGCATTGTTGACACAAGGGCAGTAGTATATATTCTCACACAATACGTACATTCATTCTGTTGTTTAGTAAGACTGAATTAAATCACACGTTGACACACATTATCTGGGTTCATCAGTTTTGAGAATGTAACCATACAAGTTAATAAGATTTCCTTTCTCAATTGATAGGTCCTTGAATTTCTCAAACCTCAAAGTTCACTCCACCATTTGGTAAATTTTAATTAAAATGCAATACAGATATAAAGTAAAAGACAAACAAATAAAATCAGAACAAAAAGACATTAAATAAATGGAAATATAAAAAAAAAATTATATTCTTTGTGTTGGTCAAATATTTGGTTTACTAATACAGTCAAACCTGTCTATAAAGGACAGTCAGTGGACTGAGCCAAACTGTCCTTTATAGACAGGTGGTCTTTATATGGAGGTGGCCTAATTTATTCATTCTTTCCAGTCTCCAGACGTTACATTCAGATGATATTCAACTTTTTTTTTTACTTTTTCGCAACTTCACAAACCAAGTTGCAATGGTCACCCTGTCTATTAGCCCTAACGATTGCGTACTCGGTAATCTGAACGTAACATATGGCCACTTTCCTGTTAGCGATTCGCAAGTAGCTATTGTCTTTTTGCTGAGACTGTCTGATGGAAATGTTGGTGGTCGTTATACAAAGGTTAAAGTGTAAATAGGTCTACAATAGGGTGGTCGCTGGTCGCGTTGGACAGGTGGTCGCTATATCCAGTGTTTAACGTGTAAACTGCGAA